CATATATATATATATATATATATATATATATATATATATATATAGCCCACAGAGGAAAGGAATAGGTTAATACATGCTGTTGTACTGAGAATCCGGTATAGCCACACACACACTATTGTTCCTTCAAGGGTATACTCTTGCTAACAAATGTGTAGATCCCAGAAAGCCTTGAATAACTTCATTCCCACTGTCATTTGGTAGGTTTTGCTTCCATGACTCAACTGTGATAGAATTGGCTTTGCACTCGAAGAAACCAAACTTGGTTAGGGAGCAGTCATAGGGTAACACCTGTGACACCGGTAAGGCCCTGGACACTTAGATTTAGCTACTAGAGAATAGTGCAGGAGCAGGCGGGAGAGACAGAGCAGAAGGCACTTGGAATTCTTTCCTTCTACAATGTAGTGGTCAATATGACAAATTTTAAATGAAATAATTAAAAATGACTCTATCTATTCTTATTCTCATTTAAAGGTTGGGGAAGTGAGAGGTTGATTTTTAGTTAAGATTTCACAGTTCTTTCTTTCCACTGTACTGTAAGTTTTCTATCAAAAAGCTAAGCAATCAGTGTCACCAAACATGCTTTGAAGTTATCTATATGGAGGCAAATTCCAGGGAAATGAGTATGACTTGGTATCTTCTTTTAGGAATCCTTCATTCTGTGAAGCAGGACATACACCTGTCTGGAGCCTGTGGACCTTAATTCTTTATTTTGATTAAAATCTTCTTCTACATCACACTGGGGCTTTGTCTTTCTATACACCACTCCCTAATTTTCTTGTAGCTCTAGAAACTGTGGTGACATTTAAAAAAATTTTTTTCCAGTAGCAGTTTCTAGGCTCTTTGATTGTTCATCTTCTTCGTGCTCCCCTTTTCCCACAGAATAACAAAGCTCTTCTTTTTGGTGTCCTCTTTACCTACTAAATACGTTCACATGGCAGAATCAATCAATAAAACATTATAGGCATGTGAAGCATCACTATGGTCTGAACTTTGCAACTAATTTTCTTAAATCAGACTGTGATAATACTTCACTTTTCTAAATTTCTACCACCAAATTTTGTTCTCTTAGGGGTGTTATGTAATGGTAACTTTTTTTTTTTCAGGAGCAAATTTTTCTTCTGCGGAAGCATAACACCTTTACTAAGACCTCCACAGATAGGTCTTAGGTTGAAACTTGCATTTTTAAAATAACAAAACAGCATAAAGTAGCATTTTGTGAAAGTATATTAAACAAAGACATAAGATGAATTCCCTCTGCTTCCTTCCAACCTGTTAATTCTTGTTCCACAGAGAATCCTTTAGTTGCCAATTTTGGTTTGCACCTGTCAGTCATCTGCTGGTAAGATGGTGCCCAAGGGCAGGTGCTGCTATTTGTACCACTAAGTTCAGGACGATGTACATGTTGGTCAGATCCAAGCTACCGTACGTGGATAGCAATATGGTGGCCTTTTGTGACACTGATTAGGTGGTACTTTTTCAACCTACTTTTGTAAAAAGACTCTATACTATTTTATAAAACCAAGGTAGAAAGGAATGTGTACTATTCTAATTAAAACTTTTTTGGGCTTACTGTTATTGTAATATTGTTATGGTAATATTTGAGTAATAAAGACTGTTTGGATATAATTTAGGGCTATTTATTCCTTTTTAATGTTTACAGTCTTCCCAGCATTTCCATACCTATGCAGAAGTGACCAACTCAACAGTGACCAAATAGTGCACTGAAAGACTTGTGTAAGATTATCTGTGTAGCTTTATCCATAGTAACTTCAAGCTGGAAACAACTGCACAGTCTGTTAACAGTGGAATGGGTAGAATTTATTGCATTCATACCATGAAATACTACATAGACCAGAACAAATGGCTACTAGATTTAGTGATATTGTAGGGCCATACTTAAAATGTGGAGTAAAAGAAGCTAGACAGTGTACACACTGGATGATTCAATTTCAATCAGCAGAACTAATATAGTTGTGTCAGTGTTGGGTGCTTTCCACTGTTTGATAGAAATTCTCTATAACAGTTGGGCAATTTTTATTCTTACTTTTTACTTACATGAAAATACTTGTGGGTATGGAATCTCAATAACACAGTGTTATAAAATTGCTGTTTATTAAGGATCAGAAAGATCCTTGAGTAAAGTTTTAATTTTCATTTCTGTTATTATACATGATATTTAACATCTTTTCATAAGTTTAAGGGACTATTTTGGTCCCTTTTCTGTGAATCTTGTGTGTGTGTGTGTGTGTGTGTGTGTGTGTGTGTGTGTGTGTGTATGGGTTTTTATATGTACAAACATGTACATATATATTTCTTTCTTGCCCAGTTTTTCTGTTTTCCTTTATTTATATATAAGAAATTTTATATATTGTGGTGACTACTCATGTTTATTTGTACCCTCATCCTAATTTTATGATTTGCCTTTCAATTTTATTACAGCATTTATTTCTGGTTAGAAAAAATTTATTTCTCTACATTTCAATTAATAGGCTATTGTTTTTCAGTGTTATGAAAATATGACAGTTTTATGCCACATTTAGAAAGGGCCTCCCTGTCTGATATTATAAAACACTGCTTTTATATCTGTGTTTTATTTTGTATGTGTTAATCTGTTGTCCATTCAGAATTTATTTAATGTGAACTGGGAGATAGCTGTTCAGCTCTGTTCTTTTTTTGTTTTAGTTTTTGAGACAAGGTTCTGCTCTGCGGCCCAGGTTGTCCTGGAATATAAGGGTGTCCTGCTCCAGCCTCTTCAGTGGAGGGGTTACGAGTGTCCCCCGCACCCTGCTGGGCTTAACTCTGCTCTTCCACATGATCTCCTTTCTGCCTCTAAACTTCTGAATAATTTATCTTTGGCTCATGGATTTGGAATGCCAAATTTAATGCGTCTAAATATTTGTATTTGAACTTCTGACCTTAGTATTCTCTTTGCAAATTTTACTCAGTTGGAATTACTGTACTCTATAGTAAAATTTAATTTCTACTAGATCTCATTACTCCTTAGTTTCAGAATTTCCTTAGAATAACAATTTTTCTTTTTAATCAAGAACCAGAACCAAGATCTCTTTAAATTTGTTCCACAGATATTTTTGGGGGAGAATTTTTATGAGGATTGTCTTAAATTTATTGATTATCTTAGGGGAAAATCAGTATATTTTAAACTGTAGGCCATTCATGTTTTAAAAGACACTTATTTTGTTTATTTAAGTGTATATAAGTGTTCTTTTTTCTCTTTCAATAAAATTTAAACATGTCTTTCTTATTCCTTGAAGATGAAACAAGTCTATTATTCCTGTGTGTTTTATTCTTTTCATGTTACACTAAATGTTTTTCTACCATTCAGTTATTCTAATTCTAACTGAAGAAGGTTATTGATTGTGTATTGGAAACACTTAAATTTTTGGTCATTTTGATTTTTTAATTGTTTCTTTTATGATTTTTAGGTAAATGTCATCCTTAAAAACTAAACGAAGTGCCCACTCCATCCAGAACAATGCTAAACAGTGCTGCTGATGAGAAAGTATGGATGGGAACAAGATGGAGTCATGGTGAGCAGCCCACCTTCTGGGACCAGTGTGCTCGTGTGAGTTTGTCCTTCTCATAGCAGTTGCTGTGCATTGCGGTGTACATCTTGAGACTGGCCATCTCTTGCCAAAGCAAAGGGCTTGATTGAGCTAAGATCCAAAGGGTGGGAAAGGAGTCCATACCTCTTTGTGAGAGGAATTGGAAAGTCATGCGAAAAAGAATGTGGACACAAAACTGCAGAAATGGGGCCACCAACATAGTTCATCACTTGTGCCGAACAGAAAGCTTTCTGCAGACATAGCTCATTTGTGTGACTCTCTACCTGTCCCCATAGACCCTGTATTTCATGACTGCATGCTAGCTGGTCTAAGACACTTCTCACTACTGTTCCTCATACCTATTCTGAGTTATCTTGAGTAGCATTCATATGTTACCAATTTAGAAGTTGCCTCATTTACGAGTTTCAGAGAAGGTGACTTAGGTGGACTCCTCACTGGCCCCTCTCATCCCTATCTCCTGCCATTTGTACTCTTGCTTGGTCTATTCTCTCTGAGTGTGAGCTGGCTCTAGTGACTTGCCTCTGCACACAAAAGTGATGAGATGTCTTTTGCAAGATTAGGTTATAAAAATCCATGACTTCTGTCTTGTTCCCATGCGTTCTCTCTCCCTGGTTCTTTTTGCTTGCTTCCTCTAATGAAGCCAACTGCCATCTATGAGATGCTGTATGGAGAAGCCCACATGACAAGGAATTGGGAGTGGCCTCTGGCCAATGTGGAGCAAAACACTCAGGCTCCAAATGTATAAAACATGAGTCTAATCAAGACTAGATGATCCTAGGCCTGGCCAGACCTTGAGGACTCAGCTAAACCATGACCAGATGCCTACCCTACAGAAACTGTGGGGCAATAAATGATGATGATTAAAGCAGCTCAGTTTTGAGGCAGTATGCTACACAGCAGTAGACAGCCAAGACCCCCGAGATGGTAGGTTTTACCCTTCATTCTCTTCCACCTGCTTTAGAGAAGTCTATGCTGTTAGCTTTTCTTGAGATCTTCAGTCAGAGGTGTCCTTTTTCAGTAGCTTGACTTTCATTGCATTTTAACATCATTGCAATTTGTCCTCGACTTAAGTAATTAGCTTAGAGCTGTATTAAAGATTCAGAGTTGATTTGTCTATATCTCATTTTACTTATTATGTTTGAGCAGTCCCCTCCCAACCCCCGCTGTTATAAAAATAAATGCACAAGTCTGACTTTGGCTTCTACATGTTATTTTCTGTGTAACTCCAGATAGTCCCTGCTTTTGATTCTTGAGATAGTAATATGTGAGTAATGTAATGAACCCTATCTCAGTGACTCAAAGAAGAATCATGCTAGCTCTGTGTGTTATTTATTTGGCCCAGGATTTTCTTTTCAAGTTCTGGTCTTAGCTTCTCAACCCAAGAGGCAATATGGGTTCTGGCATCAGATTTTCTTTGTTTTTATTTTAGCTCTGCCTGTTACTATTGTGGAAATCTCAGAAAATTATCCTCCTCTGGACAGAGATCCTAATGTCTAAATATGGTATTTAAAACTAAATATGAATAGTAGTATAAGAAAGATGAAATAATTCATGTAAGTCTTTAACACAGTACCAGGCAGATGGTAAGCCCTCAGTAAATGTTCACTTCAAAAACGTATTTATTGAATATTTATTAATTGTCTGGTATTGTACTAAGTTATAGGAATTCTAATATGAATGTAACCTTCATTGTCTCAAGGGAGAGTGTAATAATATTTGTAGAACATATTGCTTCTAAGCATTGTCATACATTTTACCTACATCATGCTAAGAAGCTTAAAATGCTTCTGAGGTATTTAGTTTCTTGCCTGGCATCTCAGTTACTATAGTAACTAGTCTTATAACCTTAGATCCTTCCAAAAGACTGATCAATGAAAATTACTTATCTAGTTAATCTTACTTCTGAAATTCATTTAGATTATTTTCACAATGTGTCTATATCATTTGTAAAATAGTGGTGATAAAGCTGTTGGATACTGGGGGAGCATTTGGATAAGTCAGTTATGGTACATGAAAAAGCTGCTGTCAGTCTTTTCTCCTTGGCCTTTAATTGGTCAGAGCCAGTAGCAGAGCTTCTGTAACAATTTAGCTAAAATTATGGCCTCATATCTTGATCCCAGACTAGTTCCTAATGGGTTACTGAATAAATTGCTTCTTTTCTTCTCTTCAGATCCCCCTCAAATGGTGTGTGCACTTGCATGCATCCACACACACACACTAAGGTGGAGTGGACTAGCAAGGGTGTAGAATATTTATTAGGGATATTGAGTAGAATGGAAAGGAAGGTGGAAAGTAAGCAGAAATAAAATGTGGTTATAGTGGAGAGGTAGGCAGTGAAGGGATTATCCATTGCAACTTTTACCAAGAATTAAGGAGACAGATTGGCGTGAATGCTCAAGTGAGTTGCTTTGGCATACATAACAAAGCCACCAGGTGAAAATCTCTTCCATATCTCTGTTCAATTTTTCCTGGCAGATACATTCTAGAAAACATTACTGTTTAGTCCACCACCTTGCCAAAAACCAAAAATAAAAACAATGCTCCCCGCTGTTTAGGCCATGAAATAAACCCATGCAGACTCAAATATGAAATATTTGACTCAAATATGCAGACTCAAATATGCAAGCCACAAAATGAAAGCCAAAATCCCAGTTATGTCCAGTTCTATTCTGTAGATGCAGACAGGAGTGCATCAAGCAGGGAGCAGACTGAGCTGATGTGTTTCTGGAGCTCTTAGCCAAAGTTCCAAGATCAGGTGCAGTTCCAGTTCTAGTGCCAGTTCCAACGCTAATCTCCTTTATAGTGCTAATATCTTCATTCCAGTGTGAATCTCTTTCCAGTGCTAATGCAAATTTTAGTGCTAATCCCTTTCCAGTGCCAATCCCCATTGAAATGATAGTCTCTTTCCATGCTAATTCCAGTTCCAGTGGAAGTGCCATTCCAATACTAATCCCAGTTCCAGCACTAATACCTTTCCAGTGCTAACCTCAATTTTAGTGCTAATCCCGATTCCAGTGATAATCCCTTTGCAGGCCTAATCCTACTTTCAATCCTTATCTTTTTCCAGTTCTAATCCCAGTTCCAGTACTAATCACTGTGCAGTGCTAATACCAATCCCAGTGCCATGCCGATTACAGTGCTAAGTCCTTTCCAGTGTCAATCGCAGTACCATTACTGATCTTTTTCCTGTGCTAATCCCAATTCCCTATGCCTATCTCTTTTCAGCGCTAATTGCCATTCCTGTACTGATCCCTTTCCAGTATTAATTTCTATGTTAATCCCCATTTAGTGCTAATTCCAGTACCACTGCTAATCCCTTTCCAGTGGTAATCTCAATCATAGTGCCAATCCTTTTCCAGTGCTGATCTCTTTGCAGTGGCAATCCCTTTTCCAGTAGTAATCCCTATTCCAGTGCTGATCCCCACCCCAGTGCTAATCACTGTTCCAGTTCTAATAATTCCAGTGCTAGTCCCTTTTGTGATGTAGCTTTTAATAATTTATTAGTAGGAAATAACAGGACAAATAAAAATAAAAATGCCAAGTCAAGTGTGGTCTGCATGCCTGGAATCCCAGCAGTCTGAAAGTCCGAGGCAGAAGGAGCTCAACTTCAAGCCCAGCCTGTCCAACTTAGCCACTTAGGGAGACCTTACTCAAAATAGGAAAAAGGGCTGGTGCTGTAGCAAAATCCAAAGACCGTGGCTTCAACATCCAGTGCCACAAAAAAGCTAAGATGTTCACTGATGTGTGTTTTATAGTACACTTAATAATTATAAACTATCCAAATACTAGCAGCTGTTCAAAATGATGATGTGGACTTTATATGCTTTTATATGGAAAGGTGCATGTCTAGAATGTATTAACATATTTTAAAGTTACAATTTGCAATGTGATTTTGTTTTTGTGAGGGGGAAACATTTCTGAATGCAGAGAAAACTCTAAAGCCTCTTCAAATGGTGGTCTTGAGGTTTGAGGGTATTAATGGATTCTGGGATGCTGGAGTCTCCTTCTGGAGGTGATGTCTAGGTTCTTTCTGTCTGAGCAAAGAAGTGGTGAAGACAAGCATGTATGGCAGCAAAATTTTAGGTAAGAAAAGATAGGAAAATAGGAAAAGAAATAGGCTCTGCCAAGTGAGTTTGGGCCAAGTAAAAGTAGGAAAAGAAGTGCATTCTACAATGAGAGTGGGCCACCATGCAAGGGGAACTCGGTGGCAAAAACTCAGTGTAGACTGTCTTTTTTGTATCATCCACTCCTCAGGCTAGCATCAGGTTTAGGCCATCCTATCTAAAACCTGCTCAAGCTCTCATGAGAAGTTTACATGCAGGCTTTGGGAACTGTTCTGCATGTCTGTCCTGGGTGTTTTAGTTAACAGTAAGCTTTGCCATTCCCTAATCTTCTGTTTCATTTCCTCCTGAGAGATATATATCCCCATAATTCTTTATGGGCTGCTGAAGGAATGGAGGTCTTTATCTTCATATGGCTACTTACTGATGGAGGGGACTGTAGGCCCTGTCTACTGAGGAGTATGTGCTCTTCAGCTACCTTGGGGTAGCTGAAATAAGGCTAAGGTCTTGAGGGGTTGTGGGCTGTCCTTCTTGCCTCCCTATTAGCCTGTAGACATGTGTCTTTGAGGTCCTTTGTAATGGATGATAGTGACCTCCTTGGGAAGATAGACTACCTCTCAGAGTTGTAGAATTTCCTGCTTCTGTTTTATAGATGATTGCTTATTAGTCAGAAAGATCCTTCATTTCATGGACATGTAGCACAGGAAAAGCATATTTGGAGTCTATAGATACGTGGTGTCTTGCCATTTCTTAATATCAATTCTCAAGTAAGAGCTATGAGCTGTGCTTTTTGAGCAGAAGTCCCTGGGGGAAGTTGACCTCAATGACCTGTTGTGAACTGACAACTGCATACCCTGTCTTTTGATGTCCTTCCTGGACAAAGCTATTTTCTTCATTGAACCA